CTGAATTGTTTAGTAAGATTTCATCGTATGTATCTGTTATAGACGATTTTGTAAGTTTTGGTCCAGTTTTTGTATCAATTTCTTCACAAATTCCTGTAACCGTTTGTTCGTATAATTTTTTTAGAAAAAATTTCTCATTGAACCTATTTCAATTGTGAAATGGAGCAATATGAGAAGACAAACTCGTTCGATGAGTTCATCACCTTATTCAAAGTCGATTTCAATTGAGAAATCGAGCAACATGAGAAGAGAAACTAGGTCGATGAGTTTATCTCCTCATTCAACCCCGGTTTTAGTTGAGAAATCTATTGATGAACGAAATATGCGAAGACAAAATCGTTCCAACAGTGTTAAAGTGTTAGAATCTCGAAAGAATGTTGTTGGACAATCTGAGAAAAAGAAGAGCAAAAGGGTTAGAGTGGATGATGATCAAGGTAAGAGAAAATGCGTCGTGGAGGACAAAGTGAATTTGGGTGTCAAACCAAAAAAAAAAAGTAAGGTTCAGAAGGCAAAAAAAGTTAAAATTCCTAACAAAGTTTGTAAGGTACATACAATTTCAGTTATAATTTTTTCTATTGTTGTATCTTCTTTTAAAATTGGATTTAGTTTGTATTTGTTTGTTTTTAATTCGTGTCATGCATTTGTAGCCTTGGAAGCTCTATATTCCAGTTAGTGAGCCTTTTCTTATCACCCATTGGTCATCACACACCAATGTGGACATCGTATCGGTTTTACAGTCAAAGTTGACTGATATCCAGCTTTGGATGTTTAGGAAAAGTTATTTTGGCTATTTTCTTGGTTTATCTCGAGGTGCTATCCAGGCACAACTTATTCGATCTTTAATGTTTAGGGAGTTGGTTCAATATAAGTGTGATCAATTTTATGTGAAATTGAATGACGAATGTGTTTTACGTTTCGGTCTTCGAGAATTTGGTGTTGTAAGTGGTTTAAACTGTTGTGGTAATGAACAGGTTGAGGGTAAATTCAGTGGACCCAATAGGTTGGTGGATACTTATTTTTCTGATTTAAAGTGGTGTCAAAGAAGTCGCTTATTGATTGATTTGAGAAGAAGAAATGGCAGTTTGATGAAGATGCAGTTAAGATTGTAATCATGTATTTCATAAAAATATTTCTAATTTCCACTCAGGCTTAGAAGACATTTATAAGTAAACGTGATTTCCATCTTGTCGAGAGTGGTGAGTATGTGTCGTTTCCCTGGGGTAAGATTGCGCTTCGAGATTTAATGAAGTCGGTGAGGGACAGGTTGAGGGGAAAGGCTGAGTTTTATAGGATTGGTGGATTTTCTCTTGCACTACAGGTGTGGTTCTATGAATGTTGCACTGTAGTTGATCAAAAGTTTATTGTTCGCGTAGGAGATCATACACCACACATATTGAATTGGGAAATGACAGACAGGCCAACACATGAGGACTTCTCTACTGGTTTCTTCAACAGCACGGGGAATAAGGTACCAGCCTTTACGTCATGAGGGGATATACATATATAATAAACCGTAATTCATTGTGATGCATCTTTGATACATCTTGGACTGTAGCACATTTGGTTAAATTTGCAGTTTAAAAATATTTCTCCGACAACTGAAGAGCTAAGGAGATTTACTTTGCCTGTTGAAGTTACCGATGAGTATTAGAAACATTTGACATCACGTAACAGGGGAAAACTTTCTATTGATGATAGCGATGATTTTGTCATGCTACCCCCGAAACAGATTAAGGAGCCTGTCCTACCAAAAAAGGCGCCAGGTGTCCAACCTGTTGATTATGAGCGTGAGTTGCATAAGTTGAAAGCTGATGTGAAACAAGTATGTATTGATCTTTTTTATATATTTTTTTTAAAAGTATTGTTAAAATTGTATATTCAAAGTCTATTATCTTTCTTATTTGTTTCATCTTGTAGCTCCATAATCAGTTAAATTCCTTCATGGAATATGTTTCCGATAAATTCAAGGAAGTTTTTGAGTTGGTAAATTCCAAGGTATTTGTTTCTTTTCCATTGCGCATTTGTTTTTGTTTTTTTAGTTAACTTATTGAATCCTTTTTTTTTAAAATAGCTTGGTGCAAGCGAAGTCAAATATGGTGCACATTCAGAGGAAGACACCAGTGGTCATCAAGACAATAATGATTCTCTAAGCAATATGGAGTTTGGTGGCAATGAAGATGTTGAAATGGATGGTTGTAAGGTGTGTTTAGTCGTGCATTCTGCACTTTTCCCTTTTCTTTTCTTTGTTATTTTTGATAATTCGATTCTTTTTTTAAAAAAAATAGGTCGGTGGAAGTGAAGGCAAAGATGTTCCACATTCTCAAGGAGATACTAGTGAGTATCATCGTAACAACATTGTGCTCAATGCAGCAGATCAGTTAGGTGTCAATATCATGGAAGAACCTTCTAGTGTGAAAGTTAACGTGTTTGTTGCTAAAGTAACTTTCACACCAGATGTAGCGCATGCTTGTGGTATTGGTAAGACTGCAGATGAGGCAGCAGGGGAGATGGAGGAAGAATCTAAGAAATAAAAGGTTCCCGAATCTCAGACTGGCGATGTTTGTGCGACTGCAGGTGTTGATGAGGCGGCAGAGGAGATGAAGGAACAATTTGAGAAAGAGGTTGCTGAATCTCAGATTGTTCTGTACCAGCCTGAATTACTTCCTGAAGTATCGCCGCAAATGGAAAAAGAAAGAGATGTCCTGCAAAAGCCGTGCAGTCTCCGTTCATTATTGTATTTGATTTAGGTTCCAGTACTGGTGTTGTTGAATGGAAAGAAAAAAAGCAAATTTATGCTGTTAAGCATCCTTTTCAAAGCAAAATAGGAATTGGTGTTAACAGTTGTTGAATGTATTTTCTGCGTCGGTCAAAGAAGGGAAGTCCAGAAAGAAGTATGTTTCCAACTTCTGAGTTTTGTTCAGTTTTATATTTTAATATATTGTCACTTATAGCATTATTTTATATCAAATCACTATATCTCTTTTGTGTATATATATATTACCAGGAATGAAATTTACCCGAAGCATGTTAGTGAACTCAATCTTGCTTATGATCTTGGTGTATATCATGTTGAAGACAAAAAATAATTTTACACTTTGGCATATAATGGTCAGCCTTTGGATGACTCGATATGTAAGAAGTTACTTCTACAGTTTTTTTTAAAAAAATTTTAGCCAGCGTACACATGAATACTCATTTCTCTTAAGTTAGAACAATTTATTAATTGTTATTGCCTGGCATAAGAGATAGTAGTGAGCATTCATTTTCCTTTGTTTTTTGTGATTTTGGTTTGAAAGACCGTAGCTGCTTAAAGCTTACGAGCCTTCAGTGATTAGTTATTTGTTATGTTTTTTTCCAACACATTGATGTTTTGTTCTACTATTTGAGGAAGAAGGGGAAGTATGACAAAGACCTACCTGTAACATTCACCACCATAGATTGGTACTTCAACGAGAAACTTAATGAGTTGTGCCAGGCGTTTATGGATACAGATGGAGACAGTGATGTGAGCAACCCGGAACTTGTCATTGCAGAGTATATTCAGGGGTTTGTCTTGGATGCTAATGTTCCATAGCATACTGTCGAGCACGTCTTAATGCCAATTAATGTTGCGGAACAATGGCATTGGATAATGGTTGTGATGTCCTTCAAAGATAGGTACATTTATGTGTATAACTCTATGCGCGGTGGAGCTGCTCATCAAGAGAAAGTTCATAAGACCATGGACAAGTATTCTGTGTTGCTGCCTCATTTTTTCGTGCGCATGCATTTCTATTTAAACAAAAAAGATATCAATTGGCGCACTGGTGTCTACAAATCAAAGGACTTGATTACCCCTTTTGATGTAAAACTGGTTAAAGGATTGCCTCAACAAGTCGAAGCGTATGAATTTCTTTCAACATAATCTGTTTTGTTTTTAGATTTAGCAGTTTGATAATTGTTGTTCTTTTTATTTTTGCAGTGATTGCGGTGTATTTGCGGCATCATTTGCTAAGTATTTCATTGAGGGCAAGAAGCCTCCTAAAAAATTCAATGCCTATGCACACCGGCACATATTTGGTGCTCTCTTGTGGGATTATGCTATAAAGAAGATGGAACTGAACGCGCAAAGTGATGATAAGATTATTGGTCGACAGAATAAGTCACGGAGTAGAAGAAGTAGTTACTTTTGTCATTGTTGTAGGATGAACTCTATAATTTTGTTTTGTATTGTGTTCTGTTATGTTGTCATTGTTGTAAGACGGATCATATTTGTTTGTGTTTGAATTTTATGAATACTTTTAAGAATTGTATGGCAACTGATATGTTTGCTCTGTTATAAAGGTTCAATGAGTTTCAGTGCGATATTTGGAGTGTTGCAGTTTAGTTTATTTTGGTATTTTCTCCCTTGATTTTGTGTTGTGAATTAAAAATATGAAAAATATACGATAGTTTGTGATACATTGTCTCTTGCAGATACACGCGTGATACACACATGATACACACATGATACCGATATGATATACATATGATACACAGTGTTATACATAGATGATACTGTCGTTTTGGATTGCTGCACAGTTAGTTTCTTAACAATGAGTTCTGCAGTTTGTTTGGTTTTGAAATATGTATTGATAATGCCACACTCTTATTTGCAAATTTCTAAAACTATTTGCATAATATTCTAGCTGCTACGACTGTTTTCCATTAGTTAGCTTTGTTACTACACAAATGCAGACATGAGTAAGAGCCTATACACAGAGATACATAGGTGATACACAAGAAATACATAGATGATACAGATATGATACCCAGCTGATACAATTTCTTTTTAATCAAACAAATGTATAATTTAAAAAATACACTTGCAACACGATTTTAAATGATAGATCAAATGTTTATTTATATCTAAAATTCAAATGACATTCTGCAACGATACAATTCTTGATATATTGCATTCTTCTAAATCTCTATGATATTCAGTAAAGTAAAATAACAAGTAATTCTAAGTTTGACATATTTCATCCTCTCTTTGGATTATTTCTACAAGTTTTCCTGCTGTGACCTTCTTCTCCACACTGTCCACATGAAATCGACCTTTTTCGTTCCCTTTCAGATATTGGCTTGCACCTCCCCTTCCTTGGCCTTCCTATTGTTTTAGTCACGTCTGGTGGCAAGACTTTTTCATCTAGAACATCTACAGGAATTTTCCATGTGCTTTCATCAGAAATCGGATAAATTGGAATTTCATAGGTCATCAATAGGTACTTCCTGGTGTAGTACACCGAGCAATACTCAATGTGATCAATGTATTTGTATTTTAATACTGCCCAAGCATGTGCACATGGCAGCTCATCCAATTGAAACCTTCTACAGCTGCAAGTTCGATCTTTTAGGAACACCATTCTCTGCTTACCCTTGTCAAGTACTAAATATAAGTAACTCGTCGAAGGGGTCACCTACAAATTTTATCAACTATCATTAGTGGTGACAAAGCAGATGCCCTCAAAATACATACACTAGAGAGCCTACAAGATTCAAAATAGCTTAATATCATGTCGAACCAACCAATATTTCAACAATGGGGTAGGCATAGATGCTACATTAATTGAAAGTCTTTTCTTTTGTGCAGGTGGACACTAGTTTAACAGAATCACACAAAGGGTTCAAGATATAACAAATTCGTGAATTCGGCATGATTACATATTCTATGCACAAGTATCTACAGATTCCAGTCATATTTTCATCTGATGTGACAATTCAAGATTGTCTATCAGCATTGTATCTTATTTTTTTTCCAAGATTAGTAAATGATTCTACTGCATTCTTTAGGTTTGCAACATTCCATCGTCCGATCAATTGCCTTATGTAGTCCAGCAAAGGCAGTACTAGGAGTTTCCTAGCAGCCTTGAGCGATGCATTGATCGACTCCATAATGTTTGAAGTCATCGTTAATGTTCTGTTGACAGTGGAATGTGCTCTGGACCATCTTTCATACCCAACTTCATTAAGTAATCTTTGACCCTCTTATCAATTTTCTCTACCTCTGCCATGTGGTAATCAAACTTCTCAACTGTGTATGCTTTGACCATAGCAAAGAATATGTCTTTGAGCAACAAATAGTTTTTCTTGTAATTTTTTTTACATTATTCCATAGATGCCATATGCAGACACAATGAGGTACTTGTGGATACTATGTTGCCGCTGCATTTTCAATGCCTTCATGCCTATCCGAGACTATTCACATTTCCTCCCTTTCCCCAAATGAATCCTTGAACCTCGCGAAAAACCACTCCTAGGAAGCATTATTCTCTGAATCTACTGTGGCATGTGCGAGTGGTAGGATACTACCTAATAAATTGAATCATATAAACAAATGTGAGTATATACATGAATATTGTGTGTGTGTGTCTATATATATATATATATATATATATATATATATATATATATATATATATATATATATATATATATATATATATATATACACACACACACACACACACACATTATTATTCTTATTTTTACCTGCTGGATCTTGTGTGGATGCTATCAATAATGTTCCTCTATGTGTCAATTTAAGAAAGGTTCCATCTACAACAACAACCAGTTTGCAATATTGCCATCCTTTTATAGACGGATATAGTGCAACGAAAGCATACATGAACAAGTCTTCCTCTATTTTTTTTCAAACTTACCACCGACATAGGATTTGTAAGAACCAACATATAAAAGTAGCTTGGCAGCTTTTCATATGATTCTCTTGGGTTCCCTCTCAGTACTTGAACTGCATATTCTTTCAATCTCCATGCTTGCATATATGTCATTTGAAGACCATACTGCTTGTTCATGTCTCCAATTATGTCATTAGGAGTGTATATTATTTTTGGGTCTTTATACTTGTCTATCAGAAGACTGCCGATGAGTTTTGCAGTAGCTTGACGTTGTGCATAAGATCTGTCTTTCAGCGGGCATGAGTGCACTTTGCTAAAATTTCTGACCTTGAAAATTTTTGCTTTTTTCAGGCTCGAAGACTTAAAATACCATCACAATTGTTATTGATGCATACTAGGCAGTACCTACAACAAGAATATAAACGTTTCCATCAATAAACAGAGAGACATGAAATACAATGATATATAATGATACACACTACCATCAATAATACTAGATGAAAAAATACTACGACTATACAGTACTACACAGTGACAACCACAACTTAAAAGTGTATAGCCACACACTTACAAGCAACAACTTACTTTCTGCATAATTATGCTTCTAACATTAACTACGATATACATTGAGATACATAATTATACAGTAAATATTTTGATACCTGCTTTCACTTGATCTATGCACCTTAAACTGAAATTTTTCCTTTACTGCCAAGTGCTTCATGACTTTGACTATCGTAGCCTTGTCTTCATAAATTTGACCTTCTTCTACATCTATGTGCAGAGGGTCAGTTATTATTGTATTTTCATCAGATTCTGTATCGTGCCAGTCTTCTCCATCCGCACACTCGACATTTAATTGTATCGCCATTGTATCTCTCCTCTATAACTAAACTTTGTGCACATTCTGAGAGAAATCACAGCAGAATTTGAATTGTAGCAGATCATGTCCATATGTTATACAAAGGGGATACATTGTAAATTCTGAGCTTTTTTTCAGCTCAAGATATACACATACACCCATAGTATCGTGTATCACTATTGGTGGAGAACCGTTTTGGGCAGTGTATTTGATTTTAATAACGTTTAATGAAGTATCTATCATAAGTTGTTTTGAAATCACCTCAACAAAATCTTCAAAACTTATATTTGGAGTAACTATTACAGCATCTGCATTGTAATCTACAAAGTTGTTGTCAACATTTCATCGGCCACCATACTGAATAAAAATTGGTAAATTTGCTAGTGAAGTAGCTGAATTAGGTCAAAACTCACTAATTCCTTGATTGATTTTGATTGTAGTTCGTAGTTCCTTCTACACAGAAATCGCGAAAGTTGTATCTACACAGAAATCGCGAAAGGATATAATGAAATTGATCGATTTTGAGTGAAATTTGGAGCTCATTTGGAGAATTTTTTGGGAGAGAATGCCGTGATTTACAGAGGGAGAGAATGTCGTGATCTGGTAAATTGATATGCTTGAAAAATAGAGAAGGAAGCGTGATTCTCGGATGGAAGAATCCTTCCTTACGTGTATCTCTAATTTTGGGCTACTTTTGGTAAGTGATTAATTTTGGACTAGAGGTTGGTAAGTTTGTGTTTAAATTGGCTATTTCTGTACTTTTCCCAATTATTAATTCAGACACGTGGATAGCGTGTTATTGTTATAGTATTCACAGAGAAGTTTTATTGTGTGTCTCACACAACTTACATTAGTTGTGTGAGGCTCCTTTTTGTCTCACAAATTTGTGGACCCAAGATTGGGTCCACAAAATTTGGGTCCACAAAAATGTGAGACAAAAAAGAAGCTTCACACAACTAGTGCCAGTTGTATGAGACACAATAAAATTTTCCGTACTCACATGATTACATACCTGTCTTTCAAGTGTGTCAGGCCAGTTGGACTATCGTTATAAATTTAATTTGCCTACCTAATCAAATTATTTTATACCTCCACTATTTATATGTTAAGAGTTGACTATCAATCAAAATTTAGCATGATTAGTGGGGTTCTAGCTCTCCATTCCAAAGTCCAAGAGTATCATTACTACGAGTTGTCCTAAAAAGAATATTGATTTGAAGTGAAACAACACTCATATCTATAGAATTTCTATTGGATTTGTGACCATTTAGATCTTTATACTACTTCTTGATTGAGAGCATCATGGCCAGAAAGAAACCCAGATCGTCAATTTTATCATTGTACAAGCTTACAATCCACCGACAATTTAATGGGTTTTACGGTGGGGAAGCTAGGGATTTGGGTGGAGGTCCAGATAGGGAAATGTAAAGGGTATCGGGTATGATTTAGAGTGAAAAAGGAATTGGTAAATTAGTTTTAACCCATTATAGCTTAGGTGGATACTTAAACACGTGGCAGAATTTAATTAGCTCTCTTTACAAGTTAGCCGCGCTTATAAACATGCTCCTAAGAGGGTGTTTGGCTAAGCTTATAAACTGGTCAAACTGGCTTATAAATACTTTTTGGCTTATTTACGCGTTTGGTAAACTTAAAAGTGCTTATAAGTTAAGTGCTTATAAGCCAAAAATAATAAGTTGGTCTCCCCCAACTTATCAAATTTCAGCTTATAAGCACTTTACATTTGACCAAAATATTTACTATTATATCCCTAAAATACTTCTTTTTAGAACAAAACTCTTCGTATACCTAGTTCTTCAGCTGCTTATTATTAATTTCAGCACTTTTATCCCAACACGTAACTGCTTATTTTTTAAATCAGTTTCAGCACTTAAAAGTGCTTTTCAACACCTAATGCTTATCAGCTACTCTAAATCAGCTAAGCCAAACAGGCTCTAAATTTAGGACCAGTTCTGAGGTCTGTGTTAAATTGGCAGACATGGGAGGATATTTGAGTGCCTAATAGGAACAAGCCTAACTTTTAGTGTTAAAGTGAAAGCAATGCCAAATTTAAGTGTCCGCTCATGTATTTGGTCTTACTTTTATTTTCCGTTCACCTTTTGGTCCATAATTGCATACAGCATTATCTTTGTCTAACTAACGGAATGTTGTGTTGTCCCTTTTTTAATGTGTTGGCATAATTATTTCATTGGGACACGTGGCGCCCGAATCCAGATTGATTTCTGCTCGCCCCAAATTGGACCAAACCTGTTCTTCAGTTCATGAGAGTGATGCTCCATTAAAGTTAATCATGTGCTTCGAGAGAAAAATAACTTTATATTATTTTATTTATTATTTTTATAATATATTTGTACATTATTTTGTGGAGTCAAGCATTTTTTAAGACTCTTTGTTATCAATATTGAGTTGGAATGGCTATCTTTTAATTGAAGATTTGGTTCCACCATGTGCTTTTACTGAAAGCGTTCGTTAGGAGTTGTTATGATTTTGAGGAGAGGGCAACCAAAGCCAAAAGTGACTGTCTTTTCTTGTTTTTCACTTTTAGCTGAAAGGTGATTGCCAACTCATTATGATTAAATCCTAATTAAATACAATTGCGCGAACAAATGTAGTTAATATACGTTGTATTCGTTTAGCGTTTGGATACAAGTGATATAAGTTAGTAACTCTAATAGTAGCTGATCACGCCCAACTATGCCTTGTAAAAAGGACTAAGCGGACGTTGCAAATATAACCCGAGTATTACGCCCAGGGTCGAATCCACAGAGAGTTAACCTACCAACTACTATCTTCAGACCCACTAATTCTTCAGAACCAGCTTCCCAAATATTCAAATCTCAGTTGAGTGTTCTTTAACGACTAGCTTGCAAGTAACTAAATAGTTATAAACTAAACTAATGAGGTTGTAAACAATTATGAGGAAACGCTAAGGCAATGATTTCCCCTATTGATGGAATCCCTTCTGTTTATGCTCATACAAATTTACCCACACATCTCTATCAATCATGAACGCTAATCTTACCGCAAATCTCTCCTGAGTAATCACAGTAATTTACTATTGCACTCTTCCAAGATACACTAGCTTACTTTATTTAGCACGATTCACTTTAGATTACACCAAAGGCTTCGTTATCCCTAATCCCGCCTTTAAACCCGCAATTATAGATTCCTCTAATAATCTAGGAGTGGTGTTGTTCAACAATAACCTAAATATGCACTCTTTTCCAAGTTATGCACACTAAATAGGCACAGCTAATTGAGGATCCTGTCAATTAACTACAACGAACACGAAGTTGAACAAATAGAGATTAAACTGGCAATTTTGTATTCACATAAACAAGAAGTTCATCACCCAATAGGTTCCATCAAAACCTTAAACAAGGAATTTAGCTACTCATGGCTATGGAAAAATAAACTAAGATTGAATTCATCATAAAAATCAAAAGAAAAGAAGAAAGATGTTTAGAGTACTCTCTCACAATGGTTTTTCTTGCTAAGAAACCTTAAAAATCAATACATGCCTCTCTTGGGCGAAGTCTAATGTTTTAAATAGGTATAGGTCTAAAAATCCCGTAATTGACACTTTGGTCCCTGAAGTTTCTGCGCCTGCCGCGGTTCTGCCGCGGTCGCGGTAGAACCGCGGCCAAACACCCTCGCGGAATCACTGAGGTTCTGCAGCTGCTTCCCACCGCGGTTCTGCCGCGGTCGCGATGGAACCGCGGTGGACCCAGTGCTCTGAATCTTCGGCCTGTTTTGCGTGGTTCACTTGGGAAATCTTTTTCATCACTTTTAACTCCAAAACTGCTCCTTAGCCTTTCTTATACATATTTCACCTACAAATCATGAAAAGCACTAATAAGAGCATTTTGTTATCACTTTTAGCATTAAAAATACACAATAAGGTGATTATTTAAGGTGTGATTATAGTCAAATTCACCTATTATCAACACCCCACACTTAAACCTTTGCTCGTCCTCGAGCAAACTAAACCACACTTCTAGTCCTAACTGCTCAATGCATTACCCCAATTTATGTCACACTTGCTATTATCAAAGATCGACCTAAGCGGTGCACAATCATATCTCAAATGCAGACTCTCATGCCAAGACACACTTGTGCTCACTCTAATTACTCTAACAGAAGTGAAGACTCACTTTTTCTTCCTGAGTCACATGCCCTCACATAAACAAAATTTGAGAGAAGTTCCACATAAAATTCAACAACAAGGAACCATATATAGAAAGAATTCGCTCACTCTCAGCAAAGAGCATTCACAAGTCACACAGACACACCATAA